AAGCAGAAGCACCTCTGCCCAGAAGGCCTCGAACCGTCCTTCACTCTATCCCAGACCCTGTGGGTGCCTGCCAGCCAATGGCCACCACTGCCCTCCTCCAAAATCTGGGCAGGGCTCCTTGCTCTGCACCAACTGCATCCCGCCCCTTGCCAGGTCACCTGCTCTGCTCTCCCCGACACACCTCCCCATGGTTGCCACCCCCCCCCCTTTTTTTTTGCCACCCCCCGTTGCATGCAGTTTCCTTCCCCTGCTATTGTATCCTATCCTACCCCAGGCCTTGCAGCTGCCTGAGCAGAGGGCGGGGATGCAACCTGCTTATCTGGTTGTGATGTGATGCTATAACAGGCAAATTTGCATATTCTTCTATTATTAGATTAGACTTTAAATATATGTACATATATATGTATGTGTATATATATGTGTGTGTGTGTATATATATATGTGTGTGTATATGTATATATTTTTTAATCTAATCTTTATTCAGATTATTACAATTGTTCCTCTTTTTTCCCTCCATAGCTCCCTTCCACCAGGTTCTTACCCCACTCTTTGCCCCTCCCCCCACTGTCCTCATCCATTGGTGTATGATTTTTTTTTAATATATATTTTATTGATTTTTTACAGAGAGGAAGGAAGACGGATAGAGAGTTAGAAACATCGATGAGAGAGAAACATCGACCAGCTGCCTCTTACACACCCCCTACTGGGGATGTGCCTGCAACCAAGGTACATGCCCTTGACCAGAATTGAACCTGGGACCCTTCAGTCCGCAGGCCAAGGCTCTATCCACTGAACCAAACCGGTTTCGGCAGGTGTACGATTTTTGTTCAGTCTCTTTCCGCACCCCACACTCCCCTTTCACCCGAGAATCATCAGTCCACTCCCTTTCTGTACCCCTGATTCTATTATATTTACCAGTTAATACTGTTCATCCAATTTTTTATTCCCTTGGTTTTTTAGATTCACTTGTTGATAGTTACGTATGTGTTGTTAATAATTTTTATCTTTTATCTTCTTTTCCCTCTTCTTAAAGAATACCTTTCAGCATTTCATATAATTCTGGTTTGGCAGTGATGAACAGTCCAATTTCTCCCCCACCGGAGCTGGATATCATTGCAATTGAGAGGTTTTGCTTTTCTCCCCAATGAGAAAGCTAGCCGCGCGTAGCTGCCTCCCTTCTTTGCATGCACCGCGAGTAAGCCAGCAGCATATTCAGCCACCCGCCCTTTCTGCGCTCACGAATCTCCGTACCTCCACAGCTCCTGAGGCCCAGTGTCCTTTTCTCTTTTTTTTCTAGTTGGTAGAGCTTCCACTCAGCCAGCTTTCTGGTGGTTCTGGATGATGTCCACTCTGTTTTCCAGTTGTAATTTTAAAATTGTTGTGGTAGGCTACATTTAGGTGTGTGTTTACCTTATGCCACCATCTTGGTTTAAAGACAACGCAAGAATACCTTTCAGCATTTCATATAAGAATGATTTGGTGGTGATGAACTCCTTTAGCTTTTATCTGTCAAGTTCTTTATCTGACCTTCAATTCTGAATAATAACTTTGCTGGGTAGAGTAATCTTGGTTGTAGGTTCTTGCTATTCATCACTTAGAATATTTCTTGCCATTCCCGTCTGTCCTGCATAGTTTCTGTTGAGAAATCAGCTGATAATCGTATGGGTGCTCCCTTGTAGGTAACTGTTTTTCTCTTGCTGCTTTTAATATTCTCTCTTTGTCTTTTGTCCTTGGCATTTTAATTATGATGTGTCTTGGTGTGGTCTTTTTTGGATTCCTTTTGTTTGGGGTTCTGTGCACTTTCTGGACTTGTAAGTCTATTTCTTTCACCAGGTCGGGGAGTTTTCAGTCATTATTTCTTCAAATAGATTTTCAGTATCTTGCTCTCTCACTTTTTCTGGCACCCCCATAATTCTGATGTTGGAATGCTTGAAGTTATCCCAGAGACTTCTTACAGTATCTTCACATTTTTGGATTCTTTTTTCTTTTCCGGTTGAGTGTCTTTTGCTTTTTTGTATTTCAAACATTTGACTTGATTCTTGCGTTCCTCTAGTTTGCTATTGGGTTTCTGTATAATATTTTTTATTTCAGTCAGTGTATGTTTAATTTCTAGTTGGTCCTTTTTCATATCCTTGAGGGTCTTGCTAAATTTATCGCCCTTTTCTAGGAAATTTTTGAAAAACCTTATAATCGTGATTTTAAACTCTATATCCAGTTGTTTGTTTTCCTCCATTTCTTTTGTTATCTGTTTCTTTTTCTCCGCATTTTCACTGCTTCCCTGAGTTGGTAGGGTAGCTTTATGCACTAGTTGTCCTATATGGCTCAGTGGGTTGGCTTCCACAGTTACCTGAGTGGACGCTCTTGGTGCCCCCTTTGTGGACTATGTGTATAGCCTTGTTGTGGTTAAGTCTTGATTGTTGTTGGTATCACTGGGAGGAATTGACCTCCAAGCCAGTTGGCTGTTAAGGATCAGCTGTGTCTACGCTGGGAGAACTTTTTTTTTTTTTAAAGAACCAAAAGGCTTGAACCTGCTGTTTGACCACGTTTGGCCCTCATGTCCTTCTCAATGAAGGATCAGCCTGGAAGACAGTTGGTGGTGGGTGCCTTTTTAAAGGGAGAACATTTCTTCAGGCCATCCAGGATTCACCTGTATAAATGCAGTAACTGAAAACTTATGGAAGATCATTGCCCTTAATGCCCCTCAAAAGGAAACAGGAAATCTTATTTTGTCATAACTCTGGCCCACAGTTATGACCTCATTTATTCAGGCTGAGTCCTTCGTTATCACTCTTGTACATACCCCTATTCAGGAGTCTAAAAGGCTCTTACTCTGGACAAATCGGGATGTCCTGAGACCCCTAATGTGGCTGTATCCAGCCTTGCTGATTCAGAGGAAATTTCCTTGCCTGGGGTCTTCCTCTTGTTCTCTGTCTGTTCAGCCAGGTGCTCTCTTCTGTCCACTTGGCCTGGCCCCAGGCCTAGCCTTTGACAAGCCCAGGCAGCCTTCCACCTTCCTTCATTGTCCTTCCCACACCACCACATTTTTTGTAAAATCTCTGAGAAAGAATTACCTGAAAGAATGCTTACAATTTTATTATTTTCAAGTGTCAAATTAGCCAAGCTTCATTGATGTTATTTTGAAAGATGAATTAAAAATGTGAAAAGGACAGTCATTAAGAAATGTCTCCCTCACACTTTTATCCACTACACAGATCACTCCCATAAACAGTCATTATTACCAATTCCTTTAATATCCTTTCACAAAGATTTTATACATGAACAGGTGTATATGTTTAATCTGTTTTCTTCTTACACAGGCACACTATGCACACTTATATCTTTTTTCATTTCACTAGACCTTTAATTTTTTTGAATATATAATATGTGATTTGGTCCAAAATTTAAAAGACACAAAAACAACAGAAATCTTCCCTCATAGCTCTGTCCTGGCCACCCAGTTCCCCCTGCAAGGAATAATACATGCATAGATGTGTATTTAGACAAAATCTCTCTTTTTTTTTTTCTTCCCAAAAGAGGCATTTAAAAAAAAACAAAACCTTTATTGTTAAAAGTATTATTTTGGTTCTCCTTTCCCCCCCATTAACCTCTTTCACTCACCTCCCCCTAGACCCTCATTACCCCATTTTTTGTGTCCATGGGTTATGCATATATGCATACAAGTTCATTGGTTGATCTCTTCCTACCCAACCTCCCCTGCCTTCCCTCTGAGGTTCAATAGTCTGTTCATGCTTCTCTGACTTCTGGGTCTATTTTTTTGAATTTTAAAAAATTGATTTCAGAGAGGGAGAGACAGAGATGGAAATATCAATAATGAGAGAGAATCATTGATTGGCTGCCTCCTAAACACTCCCTATGGGGGGTCAAGCCCACAAACCAGGAATGTCCCCTTGATTGGAATTGAACCCTGGACCCTTTAATCTGCTGTCCGACGCTCTGTCCATTGAGCCAAACCAGCTAGAGTGAGATTGTGTGATACTTGTCCTTCTCTGACTGGCTTACCAGTACCGTACTGTTTTGATTACTTCACTTTTGTAATTAAGTTAGAAATAAGAAATTATGCTGCCTTTAGCTTTATTCTTCTTTCTCAGAATTGTACTGTCTTGCTATGTTATAGCATATATCTTGGAGACAGGTCCATAGCAGAGTGCACAGAACTTTCTGTTGCTTTTCTTTCCTGTCTCTCTTTCCTCTCACAACATTCTTCTGAATGGATGTACCAGAACCTCATAGAGGATATTGAAAGTTAGAGGTTGTGGGCTGCCTGGGTAAGGGTTTGGTATGAGCCAAGACAAGGGATGTGGGAAGTGTTTAGCGAGAGGGGCCCTGCGGAGTGAAGGGAAAGCGTAGGGGAAACAGTTGGCTGAAACCCATAGACCTAGGCCATTTATTATGTCTATATCTGCAGGGGCAGAACCGTGTATAAAGACCTTTAGGGGTGTGTATGTGTGTGTGTGGGAGGGAGTATGTGTGTGGAGGAGAGGTGAGCATGTTAGCAGCCAGAAATATCACTGTGTGTTAGAATCATTCTTCATGCTTCTGACCCACTTGCAATCAAACATGTCTGGGGTTGGGATGGTAGAGATAAAGCTGGCTCTGTTTTTGGCATGAGCACTACCTGTCCACCTGCCAGTAACACATAGTCAGACTTTTACCTGCTGGTATGGTGTCTTTGACTTCATAATCAGCTTCTTTACTATCATGAGATGAAATTCTTATATAATGTAATCTGCCGTCTTATGTCATTTGGAAAATTAGTGTAATGTCCTGTTAAAAAAGAGAGACATAAAAAGGAAAATGTATATGATAAAATACATAGTATTTAAATATCTAAATGCTTATGTATGACTATACTAAAAAAATACTCCTCCATGATTTTCCAAAGTATTCTTAGGTCAGCATGCAGCACCACATGCATTGATAATCATGGGACTAGGTCATGCTGTCTAATACCGAATGTCTTCTATATATTTTTATTTTAGATAAATGCAATAGAGTTCATTTCCATTTGCCATATCGATGGCAATTCTTGGATGGAGGCAAGTGGAAGGATTTGGACAAAATGGAGCTTATTGAAGAGGCATATAGCAATCCCAATAAAAACAGGTAGGAAATACATCATTTGTTTCTGTTTTGTGCCTGGGCTTTTGTATGTGTTGTGGGAAGTTTAGACACACAAAGTGTTTAGTTTTTAGGTTTTTTTTCCATCTAAATATATATATATATTTTTTAATATTTCAGAAAGGGAGAGGAAGAGAGAGGTAGAAACATCAATGATGAGAGAGAATCACCAATTGACTGCCTCCTGCATGCCCCATACTGGGAATTGAGCCTGCAACCTGGACTTCGGCCCTGACCGGGAATGGAATCATGACATCCTGGTTCATAGGTCGACCTTCAACCACTGAACCACACCAGCTGGGCCAGCAGGGTATAGTTTTGATGGTTATCACACACTCAACACACTTTCTCACACATACACACTTAGTAAGCAGAATTGGAAGTTACTGTTCATACTGGAGGTTTGATGTCTCTGTTCTCTCTCACTGCTCTTTTTCTTCAGGGAAAAGCTGTGGGGGAAGGAGGTGGTGGTAATAAGTGAGTTCTGAATTGTTTGCTGTTGGGACTGATCACTTACATATATCTTCACTGATTAGTGCAGAAAAGCAAGAGGCAGTCTTTTGTGAAATTTTAGCCTTTGCCTATGAAGTCATACAGCTGAATTGTTGTTTATCCAGCCTTTAACTTTCTTATTTTTCTAACTGTGTCTCAGTATTTTCACTTAGTCAATTCAGAGTAAATGGAAATCCTGAGTAGCTTTATTTTCAAATAATCATGTCTTGGATTGAACTTGCTAAAATATGTTGTCAAGAGAATTTGTGTCGACTTTTTGAGTGAATAAAATAAATTTGTGCTTAGAGTGCAATTATGTACAAATTACTACTGCAAAGTATGTGAAACAAATTATTCCCCTTTGGAGGATTAAATGCCTCACAAACTATCCCATCTCTCTCTCTCTCTCCATCTCTTTTATGCTGAGGCAAAATTTACACACAGTGAAGTGCACTGATACTGAGTGTGTAGTTCAGTGAGTTTGACAATTGCATTCACTTGTGTAGCCAACACTGATTCAGGTATAGATAATTTTCATCACCCCAGCGTTTCCTCTTGTCCCCTTTCAGTCAGTGCCCACCCCCATAGTCCACTGCTGTTCTGATGTCTATCATCAAAGATTAGTGTTGCCTGTTCTTGACCTACAGCTAAGTGGAACCATACACTGGACTGTTGTGGCTGGAATCTTTCTCCCAGCACTCTGTTCTGGAGACTCTTCCAAGATGTCTTATGCACATGTACACAGGCTTCCTCAGGGCAGATGTTTAGGGATGAAACTGCTGTGGGAGGGTGAGGTGTGTGTTCATCCTCAACTCTGCCAGATGATGCCAAATTGTTTTTCGAAGAGATTATGCCACTTTCCACTCCCATTAGAAGTCTCTAGTGACATGTCTCCTTAACGTTTGTTACCGTCTACATCTGAACTTTTCCTAGTCTGGGGGTGTAACCGGTATATTCATTTGCATATCCTATGAGGTAAAGTGTATCCCCATATATTTGTTGGCCATTTGTGCTTCCTGTGCTATAAATGTCTGTCCTAGTAGTTTGTCTATGTTGGCAGAATTTAGGGGGAGGTTGTGTTGTGTGCTCATTATTTTAGTTTTAGGAATTTAAAAAATTTTAGTCACTAAATGTGCTCCTGTCATGGTACCTTTTAATGAAGAGAAGTATTTTTCATTTTTTTAAAAAAAATTCTTTTATACTTTTTATGTTATAAGAAATTCTTAACCCAAGACCATAAAGAAATTTTCTTCAAAAAGTATTAAGGACTGTATTTAATTTCTTCTTGCATGTGTGAAATATGAGTTGTTTCATTCTTATGCAGATGATTTACCAATTTTGCCAAAGGCCCTTGTTTGTTATAAATGTATTTAAAAATTGTGGTAAAATATGCATGTCATAAAATGTACCATCTTAACCATTTTTAAAATACATTTTATTGATTTTTTTCAGAGAGGAAGGGAGAGGGAAAGAGTTAGAAATATCGATGAGAGAGAAACATCGATCAGCTGCCTCCTGCACACTTCCCATTGGGGATGTGCCTGCAACCAAGGTACATACTCCTGACCGGAATCGAACCTGGGACCTTTCAGTCCGCAGGCTGACGCTTTATCCATTGAGCCAATCTTGAGCCAAGTTAAGGCCATCTTGACCATTTTTAAGTGTACACTTCAGTGGCATTAAGTATATTCATATTGTGTACAACCATCACTATTAGCCATTTCCAGAAGTAAATTTATTTTTAAATCAACCAAAACTGAGCCAAATTTGGCAGAATATTAACACATTTTATAGCTCATTTTCACATTTAGCTGCCAAATATTACTTTTTTAAAGTAGGCCATTTCTTTTCCACCCGTTTTCAATGCTGCCTATGTTAGATGCCAACTTAGCAAATGCACACCCAAGTCTGTTTCTGGCATTTTCTGTTCATTGGTCTGTTTGAATCAATACCACATTGTTTTATCTCATAATGTTTTTTAGTTACATCTAGTGAGGCAAATTCCAACCTTGATTTTTTTAATAATGTCTTGGTTCATCTTGGTCTTTTGCTTAGAAATTTGAAAATCTACTCAGTTTTCACAAATAAAACTGTTGTTACTTTAAAATTGAAATTTCATTGACTGCTGTCAGTTTGGAAGAAGTGACATCTTTATTATGCTGGGACTTTCTTTCATATATAATAGCATCTCATTTATTTAAATCTTTAATATTTTTTAATTGTATAATTTTCTCCATTAAGGTCTTGTATATCTTTTATTAGACTTTTTTCTTTAGGGATCTGTTAGTTCCTTCACTTAAAAATTTTAAAAATACATTCCCCCCCAGTTTCTTTGAGATATAAATGATATACAACACTATATAAGTTTAAGGTGTACACCACAATGACTCAACATATGTATATATTGCAAAATGATTATAACAATAAATTTAGTTAGTATCCATCATCTCATATGGTTATAAAAAATTTTTATTTTCTTGTGATAAGAACTTTTAGGATCTATTCTCTTAGCAGTTATCAAATATGCCATACAGCATTGTTAACTGTAGACATCATGTTATACTTTACATCCCAGTTAAAAAATGCTTAAGTTAGGTTTTCCCTCTGCTTATGTCTGTGGTATCTTTAATTTTATTCCTTTTACATTTCTTTTTTAAATTTTGTTTTGTTAAACCTCACCTGAGGATATTTTTTCCATTGCTTTTCAGAGACAACGGGAAGGGACAGAGAGAGAAAGAAAAAAAGAGAAAGAGAGAGAGATTAATGTGAGACACATGGATTGGTTGCCTCGTGCATGCACCCTTACTGAGAACCCACAATCTGCGTATGCGCCCTGACCGAGAATCGAACCATCATCAACTGAGCCACACTGAGCTAGGGCCCTTTTACATTTCTAATATGTCCCCCCTCCTTTTTTTCTTGATTGATCTAACAGAGACTTATTAGTTTTACTAATATTTTTCTTTTTAAAAAGAACCAACTTTTATCCTTTCTTGATTTCATATTTGGTGACCCATGGTTTATTTCTTAAGTATATTTTCAAAATGTGTTTAATTTTAAATAATTTGCAATGTGGTCAGAAAGTATAAAACTGTTAATATAACAAACTCTTTGAATTTTATTGTGACTTGCTTTATGAGTGTAGTACGGGGTCAGTTTTAGTAAAAGTCCTATGTATACAAGAAGTGTTTTTGATGCAGATTAGATGAAGTATATTAATTATGTGGTTAAAATCTTCTATATCCTTATTGATTTTTTTTCTGTTTTAATCAGTTACCCTCAGAGATATGTTAACACTATACATCCATCAATTTCCCCTTGTAATTCCATTAATTTTTCTTTCATGTATTAAAAAAGTGCTTTAAAGCATATATATGTTTAGCATTTATATCTTCATAGTAATTTCAGTTTGTTAATGTAAAGTGGATGGTTTTTAGTTCTAGTAAAGATTTTAAAAAATTTTATCTTTATTGTTGAAAGTATTACAGATGTTACTCTTTTTCCCCCCCATCACCCCCTCAATCCTGCATCTGGCCCTTCTAGGCCTTCATTACACTATTGTCTGTGTCCCTGGGCTAAACATATATGCATCTAAGTTCCCTGGTTAATCTGCCCCCCATCTTCTCTAGTAATGATTTTTTCTTTAAATTTGTCTTGTTTGATATTAATATAATGATGCCAGCTGCTTTTAGTTACTATTTAATATTCTTTTACTTTCAAGCTTTTTTGTCCTTATATTTTAGATATATTTCCTATAAACATCTTAGGACTTTTTTTCAGTTTGATAATCTTTGTTTTTCAATTAAAAGTTAGTTTATTTACATTTATTGTGATTACCTGTACATTTGAATTCATTTTTACTGTTCATCTTGATTTTTTGCTACTTGATCTGCTTTTTCTATATTTCTTTCCTCTCTTTTTGGTCTTCTTAAGATTTTTTCTCTTCATTTAAAAATTTTTTTCTTATCTATCAGCATATACTGAATATCTGTTTTTTTATTGGTTACTCTAGAAACCTAGACAGCTTCATTAATTTATAGCAGATTTTAACAATTCAAGCTAATTTATACTTTTAATCATTCTCTCAAATTATAAAAGAAACTTGAACATTTGAATTGAGGTAGTTACATTCAAACTTATTTACTACTTATATGAATTTGGGCAAATTACTTAACCTTCCTGTCTCAGTTCTCCTATGTCAAGTAGATAAAATAATAGTTTCTACATCAAGGGGTTATTTTGAGAACAAAAAGAGTTAATATATGTAAAACACTCAGGAAAGTGCTAGGCATATAACATGTCCTATATACATGTTGCTTTTATTCTTTTTTTTGTTTTCCAGAAATTGGAAATTATCATCATTTTATATAGTCAATATTTGCCTCAACTTATACAACTTATACATTTATCATTTTGTTTTGTACTCAACATTCTTTTGCCATATATTTCCTCTTGGGTTACTTTCCTTTTCAAGTTCATCTCTTAGAAGTTGCCTTAGTAACAGTATAGTGGCAAATGTGTTGTTTGTTTGTCTGAAAGTACCTTTATTTCATCCTCATTTTTGAAAGATAGTTTTATTTTTTTTAATATATTTTATTGATTTTTTACAGAGAAGAAGGGAGAGGGATAGAGAGTTAGAAACATCAATGAGAGAGAAACATTGATCAGCTGCCTCCTGCACACCTCCTACTGAGGATGTGCCCACAACCAAGGTACATGCCCTTGACCGGAATCAACCCTGGGACCTTTCAGTCCACAAGCTGACGCTATATCCATTGAGCCAAACTGGTTAGGGTGAAAGGTCGTTTTATTGGGTATTTTCTTTGAACTCCTCAAAGATTATTCCATTGTTTTCTGGTTTCCATTGCTTCAATTTAGAAGTTAGCTATATGTCTAACTACAGGTATAATAGTTTCCTAGGACTACCTTAGTAGTTTACCATGTGGTGACGTAAAACAACAGAAATTTATTCTATCATAGCTTTGGAGGCTAGAAGTTAGAAATTAAGGTGTCAACAGAGCCACACTCACACAATAAACACTCATTATATGTTAACTATTGTTATTTTGGCTTCTAAGGATTTCCCTTATCAACTCATTGGTGATTTAAAAAATTTTTGAAGCAGCATTTTTTGCGTTGTGAAAAGAATGTCATGCTAATGAGTTTGATTTTATTATTTTTGCATGTCAAAACTGATCTTAAAAAACAGTTCTCCCTCCCCACTTGGAAATGCTTTTTTTTAAATGTGCATGTTATATTTACTAATATGTTCACATCTACCAGCCGAGGTTTTGGAAGACCGTGGGTGGAAGTTGAGGGGCCTATGATCATCTGATTGGTGGAATTTTAAATATATCTCTTGTATTCTTTTGCAGGATCTTATGTGCTGACTTGGTCAGTATCTTTCACTCTGATTATCTGAACTTTGAGTCTATGAGGTTCGGCAGTGCCCGGGTTCGGCGCCTTTCCACAGCCTCTTCTGTCACCAAACCTCCACACTTCATTTTCACCACCGAGTGGCTTTGGTACTGGACTGATGACTTTGGTTCTTGGCAGGAATATGGAAAACAAGTAAGTGTGATAGAAAGCGGGCAAATGTTTCCTCCTGATAGCTATATAGACAAACCCTTCCAAGCACAGGCATAAGGATTGTTCTTGGGGTTATTGAAAAAGCCAAAGATCTCCAGACCTCCTGACTCACTCTGTTTGGTGGGATGGGAAGGGGATTGCGGCAAAACTAGCTAATTCAGAATTCATTTGTCTGAGGTTTCATCTTTGAACAATTCAATATCTGTTGGTTCATGAGATCAGAATGACTAAAGTTCTAGTGAGATCATGTTTCTTCATTGGTTTTGTTGAATGGGAGTAGAAAGATGCTTCTCTTACTATTAAACAGGTAACTTTGGAGCAAGTGCATGTGTGTATTGGAATGTATGTATGATAAAGATTAAATTGCAGGATAAAGTTTAAGGCTTTTCACCTGACCTGTAGCAGCAACTTTATAGAAGGTGGGCAAGAATAAGAAAATGGATTTATTTCAGATATTGATTTGGAATATGGATCGAATAACTGCTGTTATCAATTATTTGAAGATGTTCATGAATGGATTAGATTAAAGGCAGTTCACATTAGAGGTGCAAAGTATAGGAAGGTCACCATTTCTGTAGGGGAAGCTTCTTTGAAATAGAAATTGGGATATGTGGCCTGATGGACATTTGTACTTTTTTGACTTGTAAGAGGCTATGCTCAAGCTCCGGATTCTTATTCTCAGATGTACTAATATCTTCTCTGGAAACATTATAATGTGAGCATCATGAGATTAGGAACGTTTGTCTCTCTTTTGCCATTGATGTGCCCCTGTGCCAAGGATGATGCCTGCAGGTCCTTGGGGAAAGGTTTTGGTCAGTTGAGGAAAGAGATATTGTTGCTTTAGGCCCATTGTTCAGTTGCAGATAGTCATTCTCATTGGTGGCCTTATGACTTGAGCCTCGTTCTTCACCTCAATTTCTTCCAATGTCAGCCTGTCCTCATTGGCTGTGCTGTCCATCATCTTCCCCACTTATCTCCCTGGGATTCCTCTCACCTTTCCTGCCATGTGGATTTGTTCAGGGAAGCTCTCTAGCATTGCTCTCGATTTGGCCAGAAGCAGGAAGAGAGATGTCTTGTCTATACTGAGGAGGGAAAAGGGTGATAGATTGGTCACACTCCAGGAATTGAGTTTATTTGGTGACGACATGGAGGGATGCATGGCAGACAAACACTTAGCAAATGTAATAGCCTTTCACTTTTAGTTTGTCAATTTGTCTCCCTCTGGGGGACAAACTCTCCGGGAGCCTAGTGGAATAAAATGGGACCCCATAGGTAATCCAGAAGAAAGTACATTTCTCTGGGTGACTTCCCTATCTAGGTGTCACTTTGAGGACTTGAGGCCTTTCTCCTTCAGATAGCTCACTCTTAGGGTGCTCCCCTTTTCTTTTCTGTGCCACTACACTCTAATGCAGTGTAATCAGAGTGCATAACCTCTTTAGAACAGCAAGAATATCGGGGGATGACTATCTAGGTATGATTGACACACCATGTGTAGGTGGGCACAGATGCATGGGTGTGTGTTTGGTGATGGTCCACTGCATGGCCTCAGTTTGTACCATCAGAGAGACTACCTCATGAAGTGACCTGTTCATTCTAGCCCTTCCTTTCCCACACACTTCTGGTGTCAGCTATATTTGTATTTCTTTCTTAATTTTCTGTTAATTGCCAGTTCAAAATAGTTTTCTTTTGATTCTCAGAGAAGCTAGGTTCTTTTATGACTGAGCGCAGCATGTACCCCCAAATTTCAGGTCCAAATTGCTTCCATCCTATTAATTTCCTAGAACTGCCATGACAAAATACCACAAACTTTAGAATACCAGTGTTTATTATCTCACATATCTGGAGGCTGGAAATTGAAATCAAGGTGTCAATAGGGCCATGTTTCCTGTGTAACCAGTAGGTAATCTTTTCTTGCCTCTTTCTAACTTCTAGTGGTTTGCTGGCAGACTTTGGTGTTCCTTGGTTTGTAGATGCATCACTCCACTTTGCCTTTGTCATCATATGGTGTTCTCTCTGTGTGTCTCAGTTGGCCATCCTCTTGTAAGAACATCAGTCATGTTTGATTAAGGGCCCATCTTAACTAATTACATCTACAATGATCCTGTTTCCAAATAAGATCACACTTTTCAGGTTCTGAGGATTAGGGGACACAAACCCATAATTAATCTTGTGTATAAAAAAATTACTATTCTTTTTAAAAATACATTTTTAAAAATTAATTTTAGAAAGGAAGGGAGAGGGAGAGATAGATACAAATATCAATGATAAGAATTATTGATAAGCTGCCTCCTGCATGCTTCCACTCCCCACTGGGATCAGAACTCACCACCCCAGCATATGTCCTGACCAAACTGGTTCATAGGTCAATGCTCCCTCTGGTTCATAGGTCAATGCTCAACCACTGAGCCACATGGGGCCCATTACTGTTTTTGGCCCATTGAAGTTTCCTGCATTAAACTTGATGTCTCCAAGGTATTGGGCTCCAGCATGCATAACTCTGACATAGATTCTCATTGGATTATTCTCAAAGGCTTCTCTTTCAACTTACCTTTTTCAGTTCCCCCTTTCCTATAATCTCTGCTTTGATCTAAAAGCCCTACAGTTAACCTTCATCCTTTTGTACCTGAACAATCCATTCTTCTGACTTGCCAGAACCTGACTTCTATTTCCATTACTGTTTATTCAGGAGTAGTTTTAGAAGATGGGACCCAGCCAGGCACAGATGCTGTCAAGGGATGAGGGCTCAATCCGATGGCACTTCGAGCCTTTTCCCAGAGTGCTGTCCATTCCTTCCTCACACACCTGGTTTTCTTGCTTCTCCTCCATGTCCTTCATGCACTTCTTTTCCACTCCCCTTGGTGAATGTAGAGGGTTTCCCAGGATCTAGCCCAGACACCCATTCTTCCAATTGTGTGATTTCAGTGTTGATCACATAGATTCTTCTGACAGTAGTGCCTACCTCAAGTGAACTCTATGTCTCTGTCTCCAAACCAGATTCTTCAATCATCAGACTTGTATATCTAGGCACCCACCTGATAGTTCTGCATACCTTTGCTTCCAGGTGCTTTGCTAAGTGCCTTGAATGTATTACTTATTTTCCAACTCCTTGAGGATAGTATGATACTATTGTAATGATAGGAGTACTATTATTACTCCTGTTATAGAGTTGAGATAATCGAGGTTCAGAGAGGTTAAAATAACTTGCCAAAGGTATAGAGTAAATAGGGTTTGGGGCTAGAATTCAACCTCAGTTTATCCCAAAATCTTAGATATCTTATAGGTAATTGTAATGAGAGTGAGATATTAAAATGGATAATTGAAGAAATAGAAGAGTTCTCCAAGGGATCAACAAAAGAACAAGGAGGGCTGTCTTCTGACTAAAGAATGGCAGGAATAAAATGAGATAAAAAAGGGGCAGCATTGCTCAGGCTGTCCAGTCAGACAGTGTTTGAGGATTCTCTGTTGATGTTTCCCCTTCATTTAAATGCTGTGCAATCCATTGTGAGTCACTGAATGTCCTCTCTTCCATTTCTCGCATCATGGTTATCCTGGTTGGCAGCACCCATATTTACAATTTATTTTCCTAGGCAGCTTTTAGGAAGCAGTTGTGTTGGCTTCTGTTCCGTGCCTTGCTCTCCTGCCACATCCCTGCTCCTATCGTGCCTCCCCCATGATACTAATTCCACTGTGACCAAGTCTGCAACATGACAAAGACAGCACCAGTGTTTGTCTTCATCATTGTAGATTCTTGCCTTCATGAAGTATCTGGTTTTTTGCCTTACAGGGCATGGAGCACCCCACGACCACCGTTAGCAGCAGCGATTTGGAGAAGGCCTACTTGGCATACTGCGCACCAGGATCTGACACTCAGGCAGCTATTCTCAACTTCCAGGCTGGAAAGCATAAATATGAGTTAGACTTCAGAGGTACTTACTGATTTACCCAACAGGGTCTGGGTCATCTCCTGGCTGTGCCTTTTCCACATAAACCCTGGACAAACAGTTCACACATTGAGGACCAGGGGAAAAAAAAAAGGAAGGGTGATTACTGCTCTGAAATGCTTCCCATATAGAAAGGGAGACAGACCTATAAACAGATGATGCCAGTCCAGCAGAATCAAAGAGAAACTGCCTGAAGAGTGGTGAGGGGAGAGGAAGTGGACCCTGAGTAGGGGATAGGAGCCCAAACAGTGGACAAGCAGGGTCAGCACTTGTGCAGTGGTGGTTGTCCTGTTGGCCATGGCCAAGTCCCTCTGTGTCTGAAGATTAACCTTAGTCCCCAACAAGTGTTTTTGTGTTCCGGTATGCAGCTTTGCCTTATATTCCCCAGTGTGGTAACATTAATATCATCTTTTCTATAGGCACCTTCAGCATGGATGGGTTGCCAGATAAAACACGTGGCAGAAGCATACATTAACTAAAAGTTGCTGGGAGGCATATTTTTGTGTGTTCAAGGTGACATGAAACTGGGCCTTAAATGACTTATCCCTTTTGCATTGACAGACAGAAGCAGGCCAAACACTCTTTGGCTAGGTCTTCCAGTGACCTGGTCAAAGAGTGAGGATTTTTATTTTTAAGTTTTAGTTTTTCTATAACTTAAGCCATTTCCAGATGGATTAAAGTGGGCTTTCTTTTAACACAGCTGACTGTTTTCTCTGTTTTTGTGGACCTTCTTTCTTTGTGGAGGGCAGCAAAGTGTCTTTAGTGGATTACCCTAAAGCCACTTTAATTGCCTGTTTTTAGTCAGTTGTTTTTGCTTGTGGTTTTGTAGCACTGATTATTTTGCTCAATGAAGAATGACTGCTGCCTCGATGGGTCCTTACAGGATCTTAAATTGTCTACTACTCTTCAGTGAGAACTGCTTACCACTCATTAGCATCGGTTGGCAAACACCAACTAATTCAGTCTGACAAATACAGATTCCCAAAAGGGACAGTGAGAGGTATGCAAAATATTAAAAGTCAGGACTGCCTTGAAGATCAAGTCTACATAACTATCACCCATCTGGTTGCTGCTGTTTGAAATATTTATTAAACTATTGAGAATATCAAAACAACAACACCAAAAATGTCAGATGCAGCCTTGATCATTCTCAACCTAGGCCACACTTCCAAGAGACAGAATAGAAAGTCAGGTAAGGGTGAGTAAGAGTTCACACATGTGGTTAACTGCAGACCACAGTGTGAGGAAAATCATGCTTCAAGTTCACATTGGTAGACACAGTTTTTTGTTGGTGGTAGATAGCAGTAACCACAGGACGCTTGAGATGAGTTAACTTCTCTCCTCACAACTTCACTACTAGATATAATGAAAGAAAGTTTCAGATCCAATTCTGCCACCCACAGTTATAAACTAAATATTAGAAAGCAAGTACATTTAAGAAATACATAACAAACCAAATGACTTGTTCTGTAGGATTGGGAAAAACTCGGTGGTCCTTTTAGGGACTCTTTGCATAAAAGAGTCACTCACAGTAATGCCAGGATTCTAGAGGAGAGGCTGAATTCTGACATTTGTTAGCTAGTATCAGTCAGAATCCCAACAATCAGGACTTGCTTATGGTCTTAACCTCATGCATCCTCTTTAAGGATAAATTTGGGAAAAGGCCTCACTTCACTCTGCTCATGGGAGGATAGGGATTGAGTTTCATAATACACGCCTTGAATAACTTAATTTCACTAGTGAAAAGTCCATTTAAGATTCATCACAATGTTAGTGAACAGGTCAGTAAAATTTGTATGCTAATAGAGTAGTGAGAGATTGAACAGTGGATAGTAAAGGGGGTTGTAATAGCAGGATCTGAATTATGGTCTCCCATTATAACATGGAGAACCCCTATGAGTGCCTGACCTTTTTCTTTTTTTTTTTTTTTTTTTTCTTTTTTTAAATATATTTTATTGATTTTTTACAGAGAGGAAGAGAGAGGGCTAGAGAGTTAGAAACATCGATGAGCTGCCTCCTGCACACTTACCACTGGGGATGTGCCTGCAACCAAGGTACATGCCCCTGACTGGAATAAAACCTGGAACCTTTCAGTCCGCAGGCTGATACTCTATTCACTGAGCCAAACCAGTTTCATCCTGACCTTTTTTTAAGTATATTTTTATTGATTTCAGAGAGAAAGGAAGAGGGAGAGAGAGATAGAAACATCAATGATGAAAGAGAATCATTGATTGGCTCAGGAGTGCCTGATCTTGATGACTTCCTGGGCAGTAGCATAGGAAACACATATTTCAAGTGTAGTAAGATAAGTTACAGATATATACAAATTAATATTAAAAGTTATTTTTGTACTCTAGGTGCAGAAAGTAAGACTTGACAAGGTTTTCTTGGTAGGTGGGGATATATAATCTACCTTGTAGGAGGTATTCATGGTTTTTCACCCTCAGAATGAATCTCAGGATCTTAGGAATGGGCATGGGGCAAGAAATTTGCTAATTAAAAATGGTATGGGTTTTACAAGGTTGAGAAATATTGTACTGCTATAGAGTCAGTTTAAGAAAAGTCATAAGAGTAAAATTATTATATTAACTCTAAATCCCACTGGCTCAAGATGTGATAATTTGTTCTCAGGCTGGGTTGAAGCTTTTTTATATCTAGACTGGGAAAATTTGCTGAGCAAAATAATAGTTTAAACAAGATCGGAAGGAACAATTTAAAATTGATGTGTCATATATAATTGATGTGTCAATTACTAATCATCCATCTATTTATTAAACCCCTTCTCCTAAAGATTCCTATTTTCTTTATAAATATTTGAAATAGGTAAAACTGCCTTATTTTTAATATACTGATTCTAGGGTCTATATTTTGGATTAGCTTTCAAACCCATTTAATTTGTTTATTAAACACTGACATTTGTGTGTGTGTGTATGTATTTATTTATTTTTTATTTTGCAGTCTTTATTCAGAGAAACCTGGTCTTTGGTACATTCAGGAAGGTTTGTCGGAGACCCAAATACGTGTCTCCTCAGGATGTAAAGACGAAGCAAACCAGGTGAATGGGATTGGGGAACTTGTCACTTATGGTGTACATTGGTTGGGGTGTGCTCTGCTGAGTACAGAAAACTGAAGATTGGTTAAAGCATTAAAGAGCTTTGTTGGCTGCGTAACTGAGTGTCCAAGTACTCTTGGTGTCTGAGTATTCTTGGCCCTTGATCTTTTTGAGGTTTTGCTATTACAAGTATAACCCCAAAAAGGATAATTTGGTGTATGTACCATTTCATATTTATGGAGCTGGGTCATCAGATTAGAGTCCTAAAAGGTCAATGCAGGTTCCTTTTCATGAGGTTGAGCCATTATGCATTTGTCCCAGAGTGCATTGGGTGCCAGTTTTCCTTGACTTTGCCAACAGAGTGGTGAAGCTTTTAGATCTTTGCCATTTTTCATAGGTGGGAAAGGGCATATCTATGCATTTTAATTTGCTTTCTCTTATAAGTAAGGCTTACTATTTTTTCCTAACATGTAAGAGCCATTTTCTTATTTCTATCTATGGACTATTTGTGTTTTTGTCTGTTTTCTGTCAACCTTTGGTATTTTTCTTAAATAGGAGAATCTTTTTTTAAATCTCTTAGAGAGATGAACCCTTGATTTGTTATATAAATTATAAATATTTTCTCCTGATTTGTCTTTTGGATTTTTTTATGATTAAAAATGGTACACAGACATATTTATTTTTATTTATTTTTTTAGTTAAATGTATCAGTCTCTTCTCTGTATTGCTTTGGATTTAGAATTTTGGTCAGCTATCACTGCTCCCACTTCTGGAAGTCATTTTTGTCTCTCCAGAGCCTATGTAGGAATAGTTTGTCTTTTTCCTAAGACTGAATCTCTTTGGGGCCATAAGCTAACGCCACACATCAGAAAAAAAAATGGTTATTTTGCTCAAATTCAGACTACAATATGAGTGATTCAGAATATTCCCTCTCCGTAACCTGAGAGTTGTACCTGATTGTTGTATGATTCAGTGATGTATGGTTCTTTCCTCTAACCTGTTGTCATAACTCCAGCAAGCAAATCTGCTTGGGCCTCCTTGGCTACCTGGGACTCTTAGGGTTGGTCACTTTCAGAAACAAGTTCTCTATTTAAAACGGTTAACGGAGTCACAGTTGTTTAATGGAAAGTTCAAAATGGCATTTACACATAAGGTATCTGGTTTAGTTCTTTACTATCTTTCCATCCTCCAAATGAAAATGGTTTATTCATGTAACTAGTTCTTTTAAAAAAAATATTTTTTATTGACTTTTTACAGAGAGGAAGAGAGAGGGATAGAGAGACTATCGACCAGCTGCCTCCTGCGCACCCCCTGGTAGGTATGTACCTGCAACCAAGGTACATGCCCTTGACCAGAATTGAACCTGGGATCCTTGAGTCCACAAGCCGATGCTCTATCCACTAAGCCAAACCCGTTGGTTCTTATTTTTTCCTTTTTAAAAAAACTTAGATTTTTTTTGTTATTTAATTTTTTTCTCTTCCATTAGTTTGGAAGTTATACATTATGTTAGTAATTTTTTTTAAAGGACACACTAAAAATTATAACAAGTGTTCTTTACTTAGGTATAAGTCAGTTCAATTGATTGCCCTCCTTAAATTATATAAGGATCTTTATATAATTTACTAGAGTCCTGGTGCATGAATCCAGGAGCCCTTGGGGGATTTTAAAAAAAAATGTTTTATTGATTTTCCACAGAGAGGAAGGAAGAGGGATAGAGAGCTAGAAGCATCGATGAGAGAGAAACATCGACCAGCTGCCTCCTGTATACCCCCTGCCGGGAATGTGCCCGCAACCAATGTACATGCCCTTGACTGGAATCGAACCTGGGACCTTTCATGTGCAGACCGACGCTCTATCCACTGAGCCAAACCGGTTTCGGCCCTTGGGGGATTTCTGACTGACACCCTCTCACAGTCCGGTATCAGGCCTAAGCCATCAGTCAGACATCCTTATCTCTGCCTCGGATCTCCTGCCATCATTTACCAGCTGTGAGCCTGGCTTCTGGCTGAGTGGTACTTGCCCTGTGGGAGTGCACTGACCACCAAGATTCAGCTCCTGCGTTGAGTGTTTGCTCCCTGGTGGTCAGTGTGCATCGTTCTGCCATTGGGTTGATTTGCATAATAGCCTTTTATTATATAGGATTCCATTTACTTTGACTTGTTATTTTTTTTAATTTTATTTGTTTTTAAAATATATTTTTATTGATTTTAGAGAGGAAGGGAGAGGGAGAGAGAAACAATGATGAAAGAGAATCATTGATTTGAGCCCGCAGCCCGAGCATGGAATTGAACCGTGACAGGGAATCATACCTTGACCTCCTGATTCATAGATCAATGCTCCACCACTGAGCCATGCCAGCCAGATGACTAATATTAGGTGTACCAGTTAATAATAGCAGATTTTGTAATAAATGAAAACACAATAATTTCAAGAAAAACATCAGAAGTGCTTTTTTCAAGTAATGTCCATTGCTAGCTACACATTTTCCCCATCTTTCAGGTAATTTGTGGATATCATCCCATCCCAATAGAACTTGTCTTGTTTTGAGGCAAACCATTCAGAGACCTAATTTTCCACTGCTTCATCCATTTTGAAGTGCTACTCAGAAAGTACGTGTGCTATCAATCAGAACAAGTGGTAATCTGAAGCAGCAAGGTCTGGTGAATACACCTGGTGAATTAATACATCCCAGGCAAGATCTTTTAATGTGTCTTTAACTGGTTTTGCAGTGTGTAATGGTGCGTCATCATGAAGCAAAATTACTTTGCCGTAATTTCTGGAACATTCTGGTCATTTTACGATCAAAACTTCAGTCAAATTGATTATTTGTTATCAGTAGTGATCAGTATTAACAGTTTCACCTGATTTTAGAAGCTCATAATACACCACACCTTCCTGATCCCACCAAACGCAGAGCATTGTCTTCTTTCCGAAGTGAGTTGGCCTTGCAGCCGATGTTGATGGTTGACCTGGATCAGCCCATGATTTTGTGTTTCTTTTTATTCTCAAAATAAATCCACTTTTCATTGCCAGTCACAATTCAGTGCAAAAAAGACTGTTGTGCAGTTGAAGCAACATTTTACTGATGACTTTTTTGTTTTCCATTTGTCTTTTGTTCAGTTGGTGTGGCATTTTCCTTCCTTTAAAATCTTTCATAATTATTAAAAAGCATAAAAAAAAAGAAAAGAAAGAAAGAAAAAAATCCTAACCGGTTTGGCTCAGTGGATAGAGTGTCGGCCTGTGGACTCAAGGGTCCCAGGTTTGATTCCGGTCAAGGGCATGTACCGTGGTTGCAGGCACATACCCACTAGGGAGTGTGCAGGAAGCAGCTGATTGATATTTCTCTCTCATCAATGTTTCTAACTCTCTATATCTCTCCCTTCCTCTCTGTAAAAAAAAAAAAAAAAAAAAAAAAAAAAAAAAAAATATATATATATATATATATATATATATTAAAAAGTATTTTTAAAAAACCTTTCCCGTTGCTTGTAAATGATTGGAAATTGTTTGCTGAGCAATGTTTAATCTTTCTGCAAATTGTTTTTGAGTTTGACATGCATCTTCATCCAATAATGCTTGTAATTGGGATTTCAAACTTTTTCAATCAACCTGGACGTTCTTTGTCTTTCACATTGAAATCATCACTTTTAAAGCATTTAAACCAGCGTTCACAAGTATCTTGAGATGGATCATGTTCACTATAAGCTTCTCAAAGTATACGATAACTTTCAGCAGCACTTTTCTTCAAAATAATGAATTAAAACTTCCTGCAACTGCTGTTTTTTTGGGGCACAAAATTTGACATTTTAAAAAATATATATTTTATTGATTTTTCACAGAGAGGAAGAGAGAGAGATAGAGAGCCAGAAACATCGATGAGAGAGAATCATCGATCAGCTGCCTCCTGCACACCGGGGATGTGCCCGCAACCAAGGTACATGCCCTTGACCGGAATCGAACCTGGGACCCTTTAATCCGCAGGCCGACACTCTATCCACTGAGCCAAACTGGTCCCGGCAAAAATTTGACATTTTTAAGCATAAAAATATCTATGATGTTTAACACCTTCAGCAAATTTGACATATGAAGTTTTGAAGCTTATAGTCAACACATCCAAATAGCATACATATAAAATCGCATATACATCAACATATGTGTAACCCTATTTATTGAAAAAAAAATCCGCATTATTAACTGGTACACCCAGTATTATTTTTTAATTTAATGAGGCAGTTATTTTATACTATGAACATTTCATTAAATTTACTCACATTCTTATTGTTTTCTTTGTTCTTTCAAATTTCTTTATTTTGTTTTATTGGAAAGGGGGTGTTTACTGATTTGTTTTTAAAATTTGATTTTACTTTATTTTTTCAGTTACCATTTATCACCTTTGTGTCTTCTTACATCTCCACCCACCCTACCCCACTGAAATCGCCTCACTGCTTTCCATGTCCTTGAGTTTTCTTTTTTTTCTTTTTTTGTTCAGTCCCTTCACACACCAGAGCTGTCTCCCTGTTTTCTATTTTCTTGTTTTAATCCTCACCTGAGGATATTTTTCCATTGGTTTCTAAAGAGAGTGGAAAGGAGGGAAGAGCAGGAGAGAGAAAAAGGAGCATTGATGTAAGAGAGACATATCAATTGGTTGCCTCCTGCATGCACCCTCACTAGAGCTTGGAACCTGCAACCGAGGTATGTGCCCTCGAATAGGAATCAAACTTAAGACCCTTCAGTACTCGCACTATCACTTAACATTGAGCCAAACCAGTCAGGGCTGTCTCTGTTTTCTTGGTAGTTCAGTTTATTCATTAAATTTTATGGTTTCTTTCTTTCTCTTACTGGCTTATTTCACTTAGTATGTTATTTTGAATTAGTGTTTCAGGTTTCTTTGGATAAATTTCCAGAAGTGGAATCACTGGGTCATAAGGCAGGTCTATTTTTTAATTTTTTGAGGATAACTCCATACTACTTCCACAGTGGATACACAAGTCTGCATTCCCAATAGAACAAGGGTTCCCTTTTCTCCACATTCTCACCAACACTTGTTGTTTGTTGATTATTGACGATAGCCTTTCTGACAGGTCTGAAGTGATAACTTATCGTGGTTTAATTTGCATTTCTGTTATGATTACGTAGTGATATTGAGCATCTTTTCATATATCTGTTGATGATCTGTATGTCCTCTTTGGAGAAGCATCTATTCAGGTCTTTTGCCCATTTTTTGATTGGATTGTTTTTATGTTGAGTTTTTTACTATAAATTCTTTATAAATTTTGGGTATTAACCCCTTATCAGATGTATAATTGGCAAATATGTTCTCCCATTCAGTGGGTTGTCTTTTTATTTTGTTGATGGTTTTATTTTGCTGTGGAAAAACTGTGTTTTGTTTGAATATGTCTTTATTTTGCCCGCAGTATTGAAAGATATTTTCTCTGGGTATAAATTTTTCGTTGTAGTTGTTTTTTCTCAGAACATTGATATCATTCTACTGTACTGTGGTTTTCATTGCTGTTTTTGGAAAATCAATTGCCAGTTTAACTGGTACTTCTTTGCCTGGTACTTTTTTCCCTTTTGTTACTTTTAAGATTTTCTGTTTATGTTGGTGTATGGATTCTCACTACAGCATGTCTCAGAATGTGTTTTAATTTTCCTGTTGGAGATACTTTGGGCTTCTTAAACCTGTGAGTTGGTGAATCTCATTAGTTCTCTTTGAAGATTGCCTTTACTCTATTTTCTGTCCTCTTTTTGGATTTCAGTTGGGTTCTGACCAAATTCAGGCCTTCTTACTCTCTTCTCCACATCTCAGCTTCTTCCCATTATTTTCTATCCCATTATTGTTCTGGGCCCTACTTCCCGTATCATCCAAGCTCACTCATTCTCTCTTCAGGTGGTCTGATCTGCTAGTAATCATGTCCATTGAACTATTACTATTAAGGAGTGTATTTTATATTTCTAAAAGTTGTATTTTATTATTTTTCAGATCCTCCAGGCCATATTATAGTTTCATGTGCCTTGCATATGATTTTAGTTTGTGTTTTATTTTTTTAAACATAGAAAGAATAGTTATTTTGTATTATGTCCAATAATTTCAGCAACTTAATTCGTTGTGGGCTTGTTTCTGGCTGATTCTTGCTCATTGCTTAGTTATTTTAAACTGTGCTATTTTTCTAGGCATATTATTTGTGAGAGTTCTTTGAGGCTTAGGATGAAGGTCTCGTGCCAGCATAAATGGAGTATAGATCTAGTTTAGGAAGAACAGAGCATTTTGAAACTGAGTAGAAATGATTTTGAATTGGTTTCCCAGCCATTGTTCCTAAACCTGTTGGGACACATCTTTTATAACTCAATTATTTATTAATTTTTTTATTTTTAGAAAGATCATGTGCTGCTTGTATTATGTGACATCCTGTAGTTAATATTTCTGAGTAAAAAAAATGTATAGTCACTTTAAGAAAGGTATATAGAGACCACAAGCAGCTTCTGGCAGTTCAAGTCAAATTTCTACTACCAAATGAGTTTTAACATCAGTTTTATGTTTTTATTAGAGGCCTTGTGCACGAAATTTGCACACTGTGGAGGGGGGTGTCTCTCAGCCCAGCCTGCACCCTCTCCAATCTGGGACCTGGGATTAGGCCTAAACCAGAAGTTGGACATCCCTGTCACATCTGGGAATGCTGGCTCCTAACAGCTCACTTGCCTGCCTGCCTGATTGCCCTAACTGCTTCTGCCAGCCAGCCTGATCACCCCAAACTGCTCTCCCCTGTTGGCTTGTTCTTACCTCCACTGCTCTCCCCTGTAGGCCTGATCTCACCTCCAAGTGCCCTTTTCTGACAACTAATTTGGTTCTGATTCATCAGTTTCTATGCCAGTCAGTGTCAAAAACTCCACCTTCTAGGCAGTCATTGGCTTCTCACAGTTGACCCAGATTTGGTTCTGATTGGTTGGTTTCCATGCCAGTCAGCATCTCTGGCCAGACCTATCAACGAGGCCTGATCAGAAAGGTGGGGCTGATCAGCAGCCCCGGTGAAGGCTTGGAGAGAAATGGAGGTGTGGCTGCTGACCAGGCCCTGAGAGAAAGAGAGAGGCAAGTGCTGACCAACAGCTGCCACAAAGGCTTCTTTCTTCAGACCTCTCTCCAGGCCTGAGTCACAAACCCCTCGGCAGTTACTGCTGGGTCACTATGCCTGCTGCTGTAACAGTCAGTGCTGAATTGCTTCAGCAATCTAGCACTTACTGCAGGACTGACTTCTGGTTGGCCAAGCCTTTGGTCATAATGGACCCAGGGTTTTTATGTATTAGGATATGCTAAATACACTTCTTGAGGCTATCGTATATAATAAAAGTATAGTATGCAAATTATCCCCTCGACTGGAGTCCTTCTAGGAGTTCGGCCAGGTGGCGGGGCCAGCCAGGGGAAAGTAGGGAGTACTTTGTTGGCTGCCAGACACTAGGACCGTACAAGTGCATAAATTTCATGCACTGGGCCTCTAGTTTGTAACAATAATTCAGAGCTCTTTAATATAATTTTCAGAGCTCTTTGAATTTAAAAATCATGGATAAGGGTCTGTCTGTGCTGCTTTAGTGATATTCTCTCTCCCTTTGTATAGGAGTTGAGATACAGGTGAGTATCCTCATTGTTTCAGTTTGGGCTACTTAGGCAAAGAGGAAAGTGCTCTCACAAAATGGATAGTATGTTTATGTTCTTCCTCTCCTCTCTACTTTTAAAAAATGAGATGCTGATACTCAAGACAGGTGATATTGGCTAGTGGAGGCCACCTGTGTGTGATAGTCTGTTGGTATCTACAAACCAAATGTCTTAATGTTTTTATTTACATTTTGTAGCAATGTCAAATTTCAAGGCCCAAAGAGCATCCCAGACCATTGGGATCCCTCAGCCCTGCCAGACCCCGGCTTTAAGGTATGGGATGCATGATGCCTTGGACTGGGGAGGAGAGTGTTCTTTGAGATCAGTGAGTATGAGTGATGTGCTGTTTCCTCCACCACTGAAGAAGCTGTGAGGCCAGGGCTCATGAGGGAGGACAGAAGAGGTATGTGTAGGGTTATTTTTTCAGGTTTTGGGGATTTTAAGGCTAGAGACCACCCAGGAGATGGCTGTGGTCCTGAGGGGAGAGGATGTATTGTGGATGGAGGACAGTGAGCTGGTAAATTTCTAGAAAGGGTAGAAATAGGAGCTGGACTCAGCTAATATATATTAGTTATACTAAGCAAGAAAAGGAAAAGAAACCACTGACTCTGACAAGCAACATCTAGAAGGGAAATTTCTTTTGGAAAGTGCTAGATAATAGGACAAGAGAAAGAACACTCAATGCAGCTCCTATAAGGCCTGTCAGATTTTGGGTATTGCGCTGAATTCAGTAGAGTACTTAGGCCAAGATCTGCCCCATCTATGTGGGGTCCTCAGACTGGCCTCTGATGGCTTCATGCCAAGCATGTTGCAGACACCTTTTACAACTGATTGTTACTGCCTTGGGAGATCTCATCTTGTTGAGCTGACAGAGCTCACACAGACATCAGTGGCACAGGCAAGACCAGTGACAGGCAGAGTGAGTTGACAGCAGCACTACGATGTCAGAGGACAAGGTAACCATATTGAGAGGATTAGGGTAAGCTTCACTGGGTCCACTTCCAAACGATGGCTGGTGCTTGCACAGGTGGAGGTAAGAGAACATACAGGGTGATGGGAAATGCACGTGAAGCAGCCCAAGTCAGGACATGGGGTGTCAGGTGTATCTTGGATGGAGGGTGTGAATAGATATGGGAAGCAAGAGAGAGGTCAAGGCTGGGCTGTGCAATGCCTTGATCATGGGTTCAAGCAGAGGCTATGACAAGTATGGGAATCCATGAGGACCTCTAGTCTGGAAGGAGCAGGGCTGGTTTCCATACTTGAAAAGGAGTTTAGCAGCTCCCATGAGATTGGAACAGGGAAACCAGAATCAGGATTTGGGTTGCAGGAGATCCATGGAAATGCATGCCAAGTCCTGACATGTAGGACTTTTTGGGGTGATGATGAGGTGGTAGTTATAAGGCTTTATATGGGGTAGAGGAAGAGGATGATATAAAGGGACTCCCCAGCGATCCTCACTGGATCAAACCTCATGGCACTGGGAACAGGGAAGCTGATTATATGATCCAGGCTGCAAGTGTAGGAATTTGAGCATTTTCACTCTGCATGACAGTCGGTTGCTCTAGGTCAGGGGCCCATCAAAAGTGCTGTTTCCCAGAACAAGAGGCTAAGGGAGAGTTGGGCTCAGCTGGGAGGGATACAGTGGCCATGCTCCTGAGTTGCCATGTGCCAGCTTGGCCTTTCTGTCAGTGCTTGTGGTGTGGGGCGTTCACACAATGCTGCTGCCCGTGACAGCGTTTTCCCCCTCCACCAAATGTATGCCTTTCACATTTATTGAAACACTTTGGGTTTATAGATTACGTAGTCTGCCTTGTGTGGGGTCAGAAGAGCAGGGACATCCTGGGAATACGTAGGATGGTGCTGATATTAGCATCATACCTGTCCTTCTGGTAGGTTTCACAGTGAACACAAATTACACACATCTGTAACTGGAGAGACTGCCTTTCCGGGCTTGCTTCTGCAGTTCTAGCATTTTATGAGTAGCTTTGGGAAGAGATTGATTTGTACTTTATACATAGATGATAACATAATAAAAATATTTTCCCCTTGCAGCGGATCACCCTCAGTTCTTTCTCAGAAGAATATCAGAAGGTTTTCAATCTTTTTAACAAAACACTGCCCTGCTACTATGTTCAGAAGATCGAGCGAGTCCAGAACCTGGGTCTCTGGGAAGTCTACCAGTGGTACGCCAAGGGCTTGTTCTCAGCAGGCTGATGACATTGTCCCCTCACACTGTTACATAGTAGACTGGCTGCTTACCAAATGGACTTCAGGGACAGTTCCAGATGGCAGCCACTGCTTGCCCAGTGCTGCTGGAATTGGGAATTGTGTTCCTGATTTTTTTTTTTAATCTCATCATCTTTATAGCTTAGTGCTGCATGTCCCCTCAGAGAGATGAGGGGACTAAGGCTTTTGTAGTGACAAAGCCACCACTTGTATTCTGCCTCCCCAAAGATTGATAGGATGGTCCACTATAAGCCACCCACACTCTGGAGAACATAAAACTATTGTCCTGACAGCCAGAGAGTAGGAGCCTTATTTTTTTGCCTGAGGACTAGCATGTTCTTGGGCAGTTGTCCACGTGAGCTGGGGAGGAGAATCACAGCAGGTCACCATGGCAGGCCTGGGGTTCTGCTGACTTGTCCCCACAAAAGATTGGAGCAATCTCATCTGCGCTCTGGGCCCAGTGATAAAATCAAGCCTCATGGCGCTGGGAACTTATGGGAGAGAGGACACGGATGACCCCCCAAATGATCAGCAGTATCAGGCTCCCCTGTTAAGCTCCATGATGAAGCATGCCTGTCTTCCCAAGGCTGGTCTGCTTTGGGAGTTCAGTTTGCTGCTGGAGGCCTAAGGCTATGGAGGGAAAGGTTCCCTCTGCTTTTCATCCAGGTCCTGTGTTCTACCTTTCCCTCTCTGGCCCATGGCTGGAGTATCATGGACTTGGATCCATATCTCCTGGTTTCCTGACACTTCTGATAAAATGTGTTTTCTTGGGTCAGGTGGCATGTATTTGGTGGTAAGTTCTGTCTCTCCAGCATATACTTCTCTCCTGTGATTCTAGGCAAAAAGGGCAGATGCAGAAGAGAAGTGAAGGGAAGGTGGTGGATGAGAGGCAGCTGTTCCATGGCACCAGCACGAATTTCGTTGATGCCATTTGCCAGCAGAATTTTGATTGGAGGGTCTGTGGTCTTCATGGCACTTCCTATGGCAAAGGTAAGGGTGAGGGCAGCTTGCACCAGCATAATCAGGCCTCGCTGCACTGTGTAGGGCTCAGAAAACATTTTTAAAGCAATTGGTGTGTGTGTGTCTGTATGAGTGTGTGTGTGTAGGGGGGGAAGCAGTGTAAGCTGATAAGCTCGGTCATACTCAGTGAGGAATGGCTTTGCCATCTGTGGGGATGTCCACTTGTTGGCTCCCTTCCTCTCCTTTGTGTGCAACCAGGAGCTGATCCAAAGGTTAGCATGGGCAGTCCTGCTTAGGCTGGGGTTTTGCTTCCTTAAGAGTTGGGCCCATGTCCCTGTGGAGTGGAGGCCTCGGTAAGCACAAATCAGGAGAGGAAAGAGGGTGTCTTCCCAACCAATCCTGTACCTGCACTATTTTGTAAGAATAGAAATCTGAACACCTCAGATACATGCATGTAAATATGGCATTCTAGCTATTTGGTGAGTTATCTGAGTGTTTTTCTATCTCAGTTATTTTTAAACTTTATTTGGACATAGTTTCAAGGAAAGTTTCAAGAATGATATTTTTTAAAGTCCTGAATACATTTACTTATATTTACCTGTTTTAATATTTTGCCTTGTTGGCTTTATCACCCCCCCTTTTTTTCTGATCCATTTGTAAGTATGTGGCATATTAACATTATACCTCTTCACCCTTTTAACACCTCCTAAGAAAAAGGATATTCTCTTCTGTAATCACATGGTTACTAACTTGAAAAAAAATTCATAGTGATGTGATAATATAATCAACAGTCCCTGTTCCAGTTCCATCAGTTGTCCATAACTTAGCCTAGTCCAACGTGATGGACAAGGATGGACAAGAGCCAGTGGAAGGTTTTAAATCCAGATATGTAAGTGGCAGCTTCCAACTCAGGTTCCCATTAAACAGGGTTCATAGTTGTATGCATTGGGGTGCCGGTGTGGTTCCATGTATGGGATCTTAGTCCCTTTCCACACCAACCTTACTAAGTTGGACATGACAGCCCCATTTTATAGCTGAGGAAACAGGTTTGGGGGTTAAGTAGTGTTATGCCCAGAGTGCCGTGTGATTTGCTTGACATATTCAGAGTGTGAAAGGAGTTTTCTATCTCAATTTGGTGTCCCCTGTGATGCCTTCATGAAGCTAGAGAAAGAGGAAGGATGGAGGGGGGACAGGAGGAAGATATGACAGAGGAGCAGAGGCCATTGGCATTGCCTGGTTGGCAGGATCCTAGAGCCCTTCCTGCCCGACTGCAGCAGTCCTCCCAGCGCCCAGTTAAGCCTGTGTGTGTTTTTGCAGGGAGCTACTTTGCCCGAGATGCTGCATATTCCCACCACTACAGCAAACCTGATTCGAACTGCTACACAATGTTCCTGGCTCGGGTGCTGGTGGGCGAGTTCACCCGAGGCGATACTTCCTTAGTCCGCCCCCCAGTCAAGGAGGGCCAGAGCAACGTTTTCTACGACAGCTGTGTGAACAGCATGTCAGACCCTTCTATCTTCGTGATCTTTGAGAAGCACCAGGTCTATCCAGAGTACATCATCCAGTACACCACCAGCAAGCCTCAGGCTGGGGCCTCCTCTCTGTTGTCTCTGGCATCCTTTTTTGGTATCCGGCAGTAAGCACAAGGATGTATTTCATATCTTCCAGGCTTGTCTTCCTTGAAACAGCTATTTGGGAAAGTTGGGTTTTGTTTTTTTATAACAAAAAACTTTTAATGAACTGTTTAACATTGACTTCTTGATGAAGTTATGTACTTAATCTCTTGCTGATGGTAGTTTTTGGTTTTAAGGAATTGATTTTGATATGGACTAACCAATTGTGATTGTAGGTGAGATTTTTACTAGGGTAAGTTTTACTATTTTTGTTGATTTTGCTACTGATTGGCATCAGGTACAAAATTTCTAGTTAACTATTTTATGGATTGGTCTTAATTTTTAATAATTTGTCTATCTCTAGTGATTTGGTTTTTCAGGGTCTTGGTGACGTCATTTGACTTTTTCAGCCTTTGTACAGAAAACCTGTCTTGTGGACTAGGGAGGTGCAGTCATTGAATCTGTTACTCTGGTTCTAATCCAGGCGGCTCTTCTGCTGTGTCTCCTGGGCTCTGGCATTGGAATTGGTCCATATATCAATTGTCAGACACATGGCTACTGTGGGGTGTCATTCAGTTCCTGCCTGTTTCCCTTTGTCATGGGCCTAATTCATGAATGCTTGTCCCAGCATCTTCTAAGTACACTGGACATTCTCTGAATATGGGTTTTATATCTTTATGAGATTTGAATACCTGTGCTACAAATGTCACAATGTGGAAATAAAATACTATTTCTCTCAAGTGGGTGATGACTGAAGTCCATTCTTCAACATCGTGTATTAAGTTCCTGCTGGGTACAGGAGCTTTTCTGGGTGTTGGAATATAACAGAGCCCCTCTTACTGGCTTCAGGGGTGCTGTGTGTAGTTTATCATAAAGCTGAAGAAGCCTCTTCCACAGCCCTAGGAGGAGCCCCAGCTATCTGGTCACATGGTCATACATTTGAGTTAAATTTGCAAGAATTAACATTTTTTTCTTTTCCCCAACTCATACAAGTTCCAAACCCCACGAAACCTAAAATCACTATATGTTGTGGACATGGAGGAGGTGGATGTACTATCTTTTGTGTGTCTTCCACACACAGCAGGTTGTGGAGTCTCTGCTACACTCTGGCTGGCTCTTATCCAGAGGCAGAGGGGCTGGTAGAGAGGCTCCATGATATGAGGCTGTCTGCCCCTTCCTGGGTGCTGTACCCATTGGCCTCCCAGGTTCAGTCTAACAGCCACAGGCCTGTCCTTAGCTGCACTCTTCTTCCCCTTATCTTCCTAATACAATATGTTCACTCTCCACACCATGCCTCCAGTTCAGCTAGTTTGTCCTGTAGTTGTCAGATCCACACTATTTTTTCATCCTTGGAACAGGAGTAGAGAGTGATCTGGAACTTGACACAAATCAGCTAATCAGGCCAGAGGAGAATTGTTAAATGACCAGAAAAATGAAGAAGCAATGACAATACTACCTTTTTCACTAACAGCACATAGGTGCAGATGTTATGATTTTCAGAGCCTCCCAAATATTTCCCCCACATCCTGACTAATCTTGAAATTTCATTCATTACTTTTTGATTAGGTCACTAGTCCTCCTACCATGTAGGTGGGAGACCCGAGGGGTGTCAGAGAATCATTAAACAGGTGCTTGCCTGCTAAGTCTTTTAAAAAATATTTATGTATTGATTTTAGAGGGGGGTAAGGAAGAGAGAAAAAAATCTGTCCCACTTATTTATGCAATCATTGGTTGCTTTTTAAAATTTTTTCTTTATTGATTATGGTGTTGCACATGTGTCTTTATACCCTCCCCCCTTATGCTTTTTAAAATTTTAAACATTTTTATTGATTTCAGAGTGGAAGGGAGAGGGTGATAAAAACATCATTGATGAAAAAGTATTATTGATTGGCTGCCTCCTGCACACTCCCCACTGGGGATCAAGCCCACAACCCAGGCATGGGCCCTGAAATCAAGCTGTGACCTAGTTCATAGATATATGCTCAACCACTGTACTATGCCAGCCAGGCATGGGCTGCTTCTTGTAGTGCCCTGATTGGGGATTGAGCCTGCAACCTTGGTGTATCAGGATGTTGTTCTAACCAAATGAGCTGCCTGGCCAGGGCTACCTAGTAAGTCTTAAATGTAAATATTCTGATCCTGTGCTTTTTTTACCATCTAGTTGCTGGCAGCCGAGGAGTGGGAAGCAGGAATAGTCTTTTTGGGAATTTTAGTGGGAAGGATGGCAAGAGGAACCTGGGATGGGAGAGTATCAAATGCTCCAGAAAAGTCAAGTGAGCTATGAAGACTGCAGACAACATGGGATTGGCTGACCTTTGAGAAAGCAAGTCAGGAAAAGCAACTACATGGATTGGAAATTCAAGAGGAAAGGGGCCCATGAGGCCAGGTTGTAGGGTGGGCATGGAGAAAGCTGTTCCTCCTGTGTGGGCACAGGAAGGAGTGGGCACTGTGATGAGAAGTCAAAGTGACCATGACTCAGAATGTTAATGCAAAGAGATAGTGGGATCTAGGGCAAGAGTGTGTGATAGCCAAGACGTCACCAGGAGGCCCAGCTGGGATGCAGCTAGAGGGCTTTGTGGAGTAACGGTCAGTGTCATTTCCTGGTGCTGGGAGTGAACAGTGGCCTTAGCGATTCTAGACCATTAGGAAGCTGTGCCTGGAGATTGTGACCACCTGGATGGAGAAAGGGAGGGACACCAACAAGAGTTGATGGGCTTAGGTGTCAGGTGTGGGCGTGCACCTCAACTAGGGAGTCAGGCGCTCAGCTGGGCCTTTTTGCAGGATGAAGTTCTGTGATGGCCATAGGGGGTCAGAGACTGGGGGAGACAAACGGGGCCATCGAGAGTTGATGGATCACCAGGAATGGATGGTGAGCAGCAAGTGTGTGAGAGGGCTGGGATGAGCTGGCAGGACCACCTAGAGGACGGGCAACAACCAGGGCTGGGGCAGTGCTGGGAAACAAGGCTGCCTTCCTCTCAGGAATTTCCAGGGGTGAAGCATGGGGAGCTCTGGGCTGGAGGGGAGAAGACTTCACAGTAGAGGCAGCATTTCCAGCCATGGATATGTGGCAATGTATTCTGCCAGCTCACGTGAAACAGCCTGAGCTTTCTAAAGGCAGGTCGGCATCTGCATAGCCCACCCATGCACACCAATTCCTATTATCTCTATGGTATTTAGCCCCTTACTGCTACCCGGAGATCAGAGGGAAAGGCCGTTCATCTAGGCCAGCCTCCTTGCTTTACAGATGAGGAAACCAAAGCTCAAGGAGGTGGCAAGATCGCGACTGCTGGTGGGATTCAATTTGCAAGTTCTTGGTTTAAATTAAACTTCTCAGCAATACAATAACTACTTTTACTAAAATTCACCTATGTTTTTTAATTTCTCGATCAAAATTAAGAAAAAATGATGCTCTTAAGTATACTTTAGCCTCCATCACTTTTCTGTACATTGACACTTACGAAGTCAGTATTTCCCTACCTGGAAATGTCAAAGCATAATAAAGCTTTCAAACCACCTTTGAAGTTGAACTTCTGAATGTCATTGCCTCAGTCAAATACTGCAAAGTACCAGAAGCTGAAAAGGCCTATGAGCTGGTACCATCAGGACAGCCAGTGCAGTGTCCCTGTGTCGATTCCTTCCATCCTGAGGCCAGGACAAAACCCCAAGTTCTCAGTCGTTTTGTCAAACTACAGTTTCACTTGCCAGCAATTCCTTATTGAGAGAGGGATCTGTGGTTCCAACACCAATGGCAAAGACAAAAGTAAGTGTATCAAACAAACATTAAACATCTAGGAAATGTTACAGAAATGATCTCTTTTATTCTTGTATGCCAGGCACCCTTTAAATTACTTAGGTGACATTTTCCCCAAATCCGAATTTCCACAGGCATTTTCTTTGTATTAGAAGGTGCTGTTGTAATTGTGTCAGCGGGAGACAATCTTGATGTAGACACCATCTTTTGGACCTAGGGCAGATTTAGATTCTAGCTGCAGTGGTACCTGAGACAGAAGAGATTAAAATACTTGTCACTGTTAAAACACACCCACAGGAAAACATCCTTGGGACCAGGCCTGAAGCAGGGTTATGGAAATTCGGCTGAGGCCTCAGAGAGCTGAGCCAGGAGTGAGCAATGCAGCCTCCCAGCGGGACCCTGAGGACCCAGCAGAGCTGCCTCTCCAGGACTAGGCACTGGTGCTCGTCCCCCCTTCCCTGGGCAAACAATTCCCATGAATTCTCCCAAGAACCCTGCATAAGAGGTGGTGGTGGCTCACTTTGCAAATGAAGAAATGAAGGATTAGAGAGAGACCAAGGTCACATGACTAGAAAGTAGAAAGCCAAGCCTCACACACTTCACATCTCTCCATCTCCCTCCCTGTGCCCAGCCAGACACAGCAGCTGCTCTGGGAAGTGGGGATTGGGGCCTCATGCTGTTCCCTGCTCAAGCATGCTGTGGTCCGACCTCAGTGCCATTCAGAAAGCTTTCCTTGTGTCTTACAAGGAAGATCCATTGTGGGCTGGGGTCTTGGAAGAAAAACCAAAGAAATACTTAAGAAGCAGGGTAGCCCCTTGAGCCATGTGTAAAATGATGGTCCACTGGCTAACGTGAACCCTTTCGAGGAAAGAAGAATCACCAGGCCTTACTGCTGGGGCCTTGTCAGATGTCTTTGAGGATTATAGTTTAGATGGGAGACCAGTTTTATGCCCAGGAAGCAAAAGCGTCTAGACCTCTGCTATCCTGTACAGTAGCCAGTAGCATTATGTGGCTGTTGAATGCTTGAAATGTGGTTAGTGAAAAAGAGGGGCTGACTTTTTTATTTGATTTCATCATTAATATTTAAATAACCACATGTGGCTAGTAGCTCCTGTATTAGTACAGGTCTAGACAAACTAGAAACACCATTGGACTTTAAAAAAAGGAGGTCATTTGGGGCTAGCAAAATCAGGGAGGGCTTCCTGGAGGAGGTGACTCCTGAAGTGGTCTAGGAATGGGAGACCCCATGTGAGCAGAACTTCTCAGGAGTCACTGG